CCAAAAAACACAGTCCCTCTGAATTTGCAACCAGCCAGCAAAGGTAGCAATTCCTGAGCAGTTATACCGAATGTCATGTTTGTTTGACAGAAACTGTGACCGTCACAAAAACGGAGCGGTTTCACTTTTTGCCTATACACCGGCGCCTCCAGTGCGCCGGCGCTGGGGGGGCGGGGCCAGCCCGGGTTGTCGGCGGGCGCCTACAAATGCCCCGGTGGGCGCCATGGCGCCCGCAGGCACCGCGTTGGGGACCACTGGTCTAAATCATCCCTGATAGATGGCCATCCAACCTTGCTCTTAAATATCTCCAATAATGGATACCACAATCTCCCTAGGTAATTTATTCCAGTGTTTAACCACCCTGATAGTTAGGAAGTTTTTCCTAATGTCCAGCCTAAACCTCCCTTGCAGCAATTTAAGCCCATTGCTTCTTGTCCTATCGTCAGAGGCCAAGGAGAATAATTTTTCTCCCTCCTCTTTGTGACATCCTTTTAGAATCTTGAATCCTGATGCCAGCACTTGATCCCAGTAGACAGGCTAGCCATGGGCTCTTACCCAGCACTCACTAGGGACAGGGAGACAGGTTAGGTGCACTAGTGAATTCTGTAGTATTTGGTTTGTTCCCTCAAGTTCTCTTATATGCCAAACACCACACCATCAAGAACACAGAAGACCTAGGCCTCTGGGAAGGCATCCTACCTGATTGATAGCAGAATACCAGATGATCAATAGTTCAGCACTGATGCTGCTGTCAGTGAGTTAACATTTCATAAATACCAAGACCAAATTTTTCAGAAGAGACCAGCAATACTTACAAGAAAACAACAAACAAAACAAACAAACAAACAACAACAACAACAAAAAACCATGTCTCAAGGAGGGCATTCAAAAGAGAGGCACCTAAACACTCTCAAAACTTTTGGCCCTGATGGAAAAATTTTGAAATACAGATCTGGAGGCCGATTCCAGTGCATGTATGCATTTAAAAACAAACAAAACAATAACAACAACAAAACCACCTCCCTAAGTAGTGCAAATTATGTCTAATCTTGATTCACGGCAGTTAGCAGTTATGACTTTGAGGTAAAATCATATTCAGAACATTTTAGAAATGTGTTTACAACGTATGGATATTTTACATTTTGGGCACTTTAATAGATTCATACTTCCCTCCTCTTCCACTTCAGTGGGGAACTGCACTTGCACATCACAATGTGGAATACAGCTTGACAATAGCACATCACATAGCTGCTATTAGTTAACTTAAATATTTCATTTCAATATTTAGCAACATATATAGCTAAGATTCTGCAAATCTTTCGCTCATGTTAATTTGCATTGTAATTAAAAATAATGCAAGTATAAACATAGGTATGAAACAATATTCAACATGAAAAGATTTGTTTATCGGCTATCAGACCAATTTCAGGGTGTGTCTAGACTGTAAGGCTATTTCAGGATACATTCGGTATCCCAAAATAGCTACCTCGCATCCAAGGAAAGTATCCACTATTTCAAAATAATTTTGGCTTCCCTGTAAGCCTCGTTCCACAAGAAATAAGGGATGTCTTGAAATAGTGCTTTATTTTGAAACTTGGCGCCATGTAGGCACGCCAAATTTTGAAATAGCCTATTTTGAAATAAAATGAAATCTTATTTTGATTTTAGAGTGCAGTCTAGATGTGTCCTCATAAGTACACCTGTATTTGAATCAGGAGTTCTTCTGATTCCTGAATCTTATTTGTCTTTTTTGTTGTTGTCTTACTGGGCATTTTCCTGGCATATGAAAAGGAAGTTATTTTGAAATAATTAAAGGTAGAAATCATTTTAGCTAAAGTAATTTTAATAAACATTAAGATATACTATAAGCTTCATATCTTTTCTGTCTTAAAAAGGAAATAATTCAAGAAGTCAAAAATACTAGGAGCATTGTATAAAAGGAAAAAGTAAATCCATATTATAGCCAATACTCCCCCTAGTGTTCATTTTTATTGTACGTATGGGCAAGTCTTAAGTCTGAAACATGGAAATCCTATAGCCTAATCACAAAATGTCTCATTAATAGGATTAAGTACCTTGTCATCAGATAAGTAGAACATGGCAAAATCCCTGACACACATGAAAATTAGATCAGAACACAGTCTGATTTCTTCCTGACGCTGGGAACAATTTTTACAAAGGAGCTATTTCAGTATTAGTGGTAAATATATGCTATTTTTTAGATTCCTTTGATTAACTGGTTTGTACTTCTTTGCAAAGTTAATTGTTCATATGCTGTTGATGTAGATATAAAAGCGAATCCATTATATAAATATACCTTAATTTCTATATAAACTTCTAACTGATACCATGTTGGTTTGGAAAGGGGTTATTGTCTTTAAAAAGGAGCTAAGTATTGGCTTACACTTTGCATTATAGCTATACATGAAGGGGAAATAAAGTAAATGAAATTCTTTTTCCTTAACTTACTTCACAGAAATATGTTTTAGTTCATTATTGATGTATTTTTGATTCATATAATTAATTAATTTCCCAACTTCTTACCACATCTATTCTGTGCTTTTAACACATTTAGCACTATTTTGAATGATAGTGTCAAATAAAATCAGGATACAAAAGAACCACCTTTTTGGAGATGAAGAAGGAAAGAAAATATTTTATTTTATAATATGGAATTTGTACATAGTAGAGATACACTTATATGCTGAACTAGTAACTAAAATGAGTAAAAATTATATAGTGCAGTGTCAGTATTTAAGGTTTTTTGGGACTTGTGTGAGTTGAATAAAATTTACAATATTCTATAATAAACTAATATAAAAAGCAAGGGACCTGATTCTGATTTCAATAATGATGCTTAACACAATGAATTTACACTATGTAAATAATAACCAAATCTAGGCTGCTATAAAAAGAGATACATTTATTATGCTTATTAATTAATCTTAATACAGAGATGTGTATTATATAAAGGAGCAAAATTATTCAAGACTTTGGTCTTTTATCACATTTTTAACATTGTTTAAGAACTTTGGAAATAATATTAAAATTTTCACAGGCATTACTACTGCTTTTATTGAGGTATAATTCTGAACCCTTTGTTAAAGTCAATTTTTGGTGCAATTCAAGATCCCCAGCTATTAGTACTGATTAAGAAAGAGCCAGTTATTAAGGTGTCCCAGAAAGGAGTTTCAGAATGTTTATTCAGGTAATTTCATAGAAAACAAGGAGCAAAAGAGGCATATTTGACAGAAAGGTGTGGTCTGAATTGGGCCCACTGATTTCAATGGCAAAATTCTCAAGATTCCATGGGAGCAGGATCAGCCTCTTGTATTACATTTATATTCTTATTTGATGATAAATGAGACAGAGACTCAGACACAACTCTTACTAATATGAGTAGCACCAATGAAACCAAGGGAACTGCTCAAGTTCAGATGGCAGTAAGTGTTTGCATGATTAATTCCTAATGTTTCAAAGTTAACTTCTATTAATTCTTCTACTTCTTATACAGAGAGAACATGAAGTCATGCTGGCTAATTCTGATACACCTGCTATGGCTGAGGGACCATCAGTGTGCGCCTACAAAGGAGCAAGAAATCAATCCACGCGAACAACTGAAAAGTATGTATGCTTTTACTATTAAATATGAACTGAAAGCTTCTAAGCCCATTTCTGCCATCAGATCTGCATGGGAGGACCTCTGCTCCCATACAGAGACCCACTGAAGTCAATAAGGTTCTGCAAAAAAGTCTGCCCATGCAGATCCAATTGCAAGTGTGGGGCATTAAGATGTGTGATATTGGTGGTTTCTAGTGATATTGAAGTGAAACATGCCCCAAACATTCACTATAAATTCCTATTTTAAGGGGGTCCATAAAATTGAATCTAGTTATACAAGGGATCACTGAAGTAAGCTCATTTTTCCTTTTTATTTCTTATGTTTAATTAATATTTTTTCTTAAATTACTGGAGTAAAATATGAAAAGTATATTGATTTCAACAAGGTTTGGATTATTTTACTTAATTGACAAACAAAATTGTGCAAGTTTTTTAGTACTATTAGCTATACCCCTTTGCTGTTAAAAATATTAAAAATACTTTGATTTAAAGCATTTACAGGGCATTTTGAAAATGTTGTTTATTTTGTTGCTTACTACAAAAAGGACCAGTTATAAACATATAAACCAGACTGGGGCAAAAACAAAAACAAACAAACAAACAAAAACAAAAATACCATACATCAGAGAAAAAATGAGAGGAAAGAAAGATATGAAAAGAGAAAAGAATGATGTATGCAAGGGCATTTTATAATTTCACATGCGGCATATACTTCACTTGTGTTCTGCAGTTCCCATAGATGTTGATGGGATTTCTGCACAGAGAACTATTCATGTCTCCAGCATGATTTTTGTTCCCAAAACATGGGCCAAATTGAGTTGCCATGGAAATAAATGTGGTGAAAGAAAGATATGAAAAGAGAAAAGAATGATGTATGCAAGGGCATTTTATAATTTCACATGCGGCATATACTTCACTTGTGTTCTGCAGTTCCCATAGATGTTGATGGGATTTCTGCACAGAGAACTATTCATGTCTCCAGCATGATTTTTGTTCCCAAAACATGGGCCAAATTGAGTTGCCATGGAAATAAATGTGGTTTTTGCCAT